TCTCTCTCTCTCTCTCTCTCTCGTGTGTGTGCAGGTGTACATGCACACGTGTGTACCTATGTGTGGGGATCAGAAGACAGTATTGGGTGTTGTTCCTTAGGTACCACCCACCTGTCCACCATTCGTTCTTTCTTTCTGAGATAGGGCCTCTCTCACTGGCCTGGAACTTGACAAAGCAGGCTGGGCTGTCGGACCTGTGAGCCCCAGGGATCTGCCTGTTTCTGGATTCCTGGTGTTAGAATTACAGGCCACCAAGTGCCTGGCTCTTTTTGTGCATGGGTTTGGGAACTCAGACTCAGGCCCTCACACTCACAGGGCAAATGCGTAACTGGCTGAGCCACCTCCCTAACCAGACACGGTTTATTGACTTGGCAATGTACCCTCTGTGCACTGCTGCCTTGATTGTGGGGCTCTGCACATTGGTGCTGAGACTTACTTATTTTCTTTCGGCTTAAGCTTAAGCACCATTGCATTCTTGGATGTGCATTCCTGCCTGAGAGGAGTACAGTTCCGATTATGTTTTGGCCTTACCACGGGGGACACCTCTGGTTCATTTACAGGACATAAACTGGCAGAGGAGAGGTCAGAAGATGCAAATGGCTCCTCCCAAGTCCAGCTTCTCTCTGCAATGGTCATCTGGGATTGGTCATCTGGTAGTGTTCATCCATCTTGAAGCACATTTCAAATAATGAACACCATTTTTTTGTTTGTTTGTTTAAGTGGAGAAGGGCATTTTGCTAGAGAAACACGGCCAAACTGCCACCAACACACTAATCTGGATCTTGCTAGAAGCCCTGGCATTCTGGACTTGGTCCTGTCAGCTGACCCCTGCTGAGTGAGGTCCATACAGGCTTTCAGTGCCTCATGCAAACCCATCCTAATGAGGAAGTTTCTGGCAATGGAGCTAAGAACTAGATCTGGGAATCAAATTTTTATAAGGTTGGGGCTGCTGGGATTCTGGGTCCAGCTGGTGACTCACGTTATAACCTTGTAGTTCAAAGGATCTAGAAGTTGGGGGAAATCAGGACATCCTTAAAAGCACAATGGTGCGTCTGAACTCTTGGATAAGGATATAGATTTTAAAAATCTAGTACTTGCAGACAATTTAGGAGGTCGCTCTGTGCTAAAATTAGCAAGTCCTCAGGAAGGAAGAATATAGGTTGGCTGGGCAGCTTGAGTTCCATTTTCTTTCATTTTATTTTTGCATAGAAGAATATTCCCTTGTTCTCACCTAACTAGGTTGCTTTATACAGTACAGCGCAACATTCTTGGAAACATTTTTAGTCCCGTCCAACATCAAACAATGCCACCAAACAAGATGAAAAATCTGAACCAGACTTTACATAAAGGAAGCTGTCAGCATGTCTGTGATAATTTTCTAATTCAATATTTCCTACTCCATTTTTGATCATCTTGTTCAAGCAACATTGAGATGTCCCTAGAAATGTAGGCCTTATCTTGGACAATGAAAGCATAGGAAATAAGTCTCTTTATGGAATCTGTAAATCTATGGAAACTTACTTGAACACAGGCATAGAATCTGTGTCTTACGTGGGTCAGCTTTTAATTGGGAGACACAACTAATGAACACTGAGTGTTTAATAGACATACACTTGTGACTTTAAATCCTGTGCCTGCAGTTTCCCTCCCTGGGTGAGCTGGAAATACATTTTTTTTGAGACAAGGTCTTCCTGTAGCCACAGCTGACCTGAAACTTGTAATGTAAACCAAGCTGCCTTTATTTCACAGAGATCTGCCTGCTTCAGTCTCCTGAGTGCTGGATTAAAGATGTGTGTCACTGAGCCCGGCTGAGCTGGAAATAGTTTGTGTGGCCAATGGACATTTCAGGAGGCCTTGCTGGGGACTGGACTACTTTTTACAGGCTATAACTTATTCTGCCCTTTCAAGGCAGCACTTCTCTGAGTGGCAGAGAGATCTGTATGTCCACTATCGTAACTCTTGATCCATCACAGCCAGACTATCACCATCTATGGCTCTGGGACAGGGTCTTAGGGATCTTTCGATCTCCAGGAGCTTGTCAAACTCTTGGGTTCAAACAGAAATGAGTAATAAGAAAATGTTGCTAATCTTTCTTTTAAATGCTACCTTGGCACTTAGTAGATATGAACATTAGTTTGCTGAGTCAAATTCATTTCAGCATGTCCTGTAAGCCTGGTTTTAGGAAGTGGTGGGTATCTGACCTGGGCTTCCACTTTCACATTCTTTCTTCTTTGCTTTCAGACTCTAGATTCTAGAAGCCCTCATCAAACACCTCCACAAGTCTGCAGGTGCCTTTGTGCAGGAATAAGCTACATCATCGGAATTCTTTGCTTCTTAGCATCTCTCGTGATCGTGTCTTGTCTGTACCCCTCTTCCTGTGGAAAGCTTTGTGTTAGCTCTACCTTATCTCTTGTACAAAGGAAGCAAAATGGTCCCAGGAATGAAAGCCTTTGCTCTCAGATGTGATGAACTGCTTGCTTTCCCAAGCTTAACTGCAAAATAGTAGTATCTCGAAGTAGACATGCTAACAGTAACATGTTAGCCTGGGAGAGGCTCCAGATCCGGTCCTTGCAAAGCGGTAACTGCGTCAATGAAGTTTTGAAACGTCTTGGGTCGTCTATCAATCCGACCTGAACATATCAGTAAGTTAGCAACAGTTTCCATTGGAGATGTTCTTGGCAAGGAAAACACTATTGGGTGCTTACGTCATACTAGAATGGTAAAAATAAAATGGTAACTGAGAGTGAGGAATAAGTGTGGGGGGTGGATGTGCTCGGCAGATGATGCACCCTGGGAAACATTGCCCAGGTAGCTAACTCCCAACTGCCAAGCTCTTGTGGTTCAACACTGGTCATCAGTAAGACACTTCCATGGTTGGTCTGAAGAACCACAGGCAATGCATAACCTTGAAAATGCACCTCGTTTGACATTGCTGTCTACATGAAGCAAGGACGGGCACACTTGGTTCCTCAAAGACAGCGTCCCCAAAGTCCAGGCCATTGGACTCTGTTGACCAAAGAATGTTTCATAGTGTGTAGGCTATCACAATTCACTCAGGTAATGTCTGCAATGGGTTAATGTGATTTAGAAAGAACATTTCAACAAGACGGATGAGTCACTGGAATTTCTGGGCTGTGGGACATTTAAATGGAAGGATTGTTAAAATGTACAGGTGGAGTGAGAGTGAGCGAATTGATAGTCGCAGGTGTGAGGGTCACATAACAGGAAGGTCACGTGTTTGGAGAGAGGAGATGGGCAAGGTTTTACCGTGCCCCGCCAAAACAGTGGGATCACAGTCAAATAAAATAGGGGAGATCAATGCTTATGGAAGTAAGGTTGGTGGCAGTGTGTGGGGGTTACTATGGATGTGGGGGGGGTGGCTTTAGGACTTGCTCCTTGAATAAAACTCTGAAGACTGTATAGATGTAACATCTCTCTATGCTGCCTGATATTAAAATACTTCATGTATTCACCAAACAGTGGCTTGGTCAAAAACCCTTATAGGTGGAGGGCACAGAATATTCCCTGCACAGAATTTCTTACTTGAAATCCTTTGAGCTCAGGCTGCAGAGCAAAGGGAAGCAAGACCTCCCGGCTAGAGACTGGGGAGAGCCTCATCACCCAGAACCGCACAGAGCCGGCCGCTCTAATAACGTTATTTGTTCACAAGGGTTCTCGGGTCGGGCCTGAATTCTCTAGCTTCTTTTGTGTTTTCCTTAGAGTAAAACTTATATCAGGCATCAGCTCAAATTTCTAATTCAGGAAAACATGTGCTTCCTGTCTTGCCACATTTTACCTGTACCATAAAGCCCTCAATCTCTGATTCCAGGCAATAAAATTATTCTTGTTTCCGGAGCAAATCTCATAGCTCTTAAAAAAAACAACAACTATAATTGGTGGCTTTGCTGGAACCACTGAAAATTAAAGAGAGCGGCCTTGAAGAACCCATGAGAAATTAATTTTCTGTGTCTGCCGATAGCTGGGATTTAGGGGACTTGTAAGGGCTGATTTTCACTCGCTTTCTGATTGTGTGCAATAGGAGCACTTTATTATTTTTTTCCCTAGGGTGCCACAGTCTTGTTGAGGGCCTGGCCCCAAGCACAGCTGGTTGAGCAGCTCAGTGGGGAATGTCCTTCCCCTGTAGGCGAGTCCCCTGGCTGACCTCTCTCAGGGGGCTCACGGAGGTCGGACCTACCTCGCAGCCTCTTCAGCCTCTGCTCCCGTCGCCTCCTCCTCACCACCAGCAGAAGCACAAATAGCAGCAGGACCCCCACCAGGATGCAGGAGATGGTCACGAGCATCTTCAGCCCTTCGTTGGTCGTCAGCCCTTCTTCGCTTTGGACAACTGACTTAATGAGTGGAGGGACTGTACCTGAAAGCAGGCCACGGTGTTAGATGACTGTTAATGGCGACAGCGTGGTGGAGTTTTTAGGGATGAAGGGTTATAAAAAAAAAAACAAAAACCGCGCGGTGTGATTCAAGGGTGTCCGTGTGATGAGAAATGAGGGGAACTGTTCCCTCGGTCTTTGATAACTGACTTGCTCCCTTACCCTCCCTTCGAGGGAACTTCCAAATCACTGTATAGATTACAACACAGCTCTGTAAAGAGTTCCATTTTGCAAAGTGCTCTAGGGTGTGGACACCTGACAGTGTGATGCTGGGGTTCTGGGCTCACAAAAGCCCCGGGAATTCACTGAAATTCGTGCCTGCTTGACTGTCACTCACAGGTTCCATTGCTTAAGTCGCTCAAGCCTACTTTGAAAAGAAGGAACCACGGGCAGACTGTACCCGGTGCACTGCCTCAGAGACACTGAAATGGCCTTCCCTTTGACTGTTCTCTTGATTTTCATCCAAGCTGGACACCGACTTTCAAAACTCACATTTTAGGGTGTAAGAGCTAGAGGCAACTTTTCAAAGGGGATTCATCAAGGTCCCTAAAACAGTAAGCTGTCAATAAGGCATCTTTATTCTGCTGAATGAAATTTAGATTATTTAGAATTGTAAGAAAACACGAAAGTAAAATAAACTCTGAGCTGTTTTAAGAAGACTTCTCCCCTGAGGCTGAACACGAAGTGTACAGGGATCTAAACAGACACCTGTGTTTTATGGGGCACACAAATGCCATCTTCCTGTATGTAAGATGTTCCATCTCCACTGTCTTTTCCAAGTAAAATGGGAGCCAGAAAGTTAGAGCTTTAGGAAAAAATAGTGTAAAAATAATATTTCCCCCAGAGCAAAACTGATTTTTATCTTGTGTTTAGTAGTGGAGCAGTGATAATCCAACCCTTGGACCTCTCAGATCTATGCTAGAGCCGAGAAGAATGTTCTCCTGATTTTACAGTGTCTCTGGCTGGAAACCCAAGTTTGCAAATACCAACTACAAAAAAGAGGGGCCTATGAGGCTGGGTCTGCAACCAGGATGGCACAAAGACAAGCAGATAGGTCTCGTAAAGGCGACAGCAGGAGAGAGTCGGAGAAAGAAGCAGAAGAGGTGGGGAGCTGCCTGGTATGGAGACAAGGTTAATTTTTGTTTTGATGTTTATTTTTCCTAAAACAAACCAACAAAAAATCCCTTCAAGCAGATGTGACAAAATCGATATTAAAGCTATATATCCATGAGATGGATTCAAAGAAATCTGTCAGTGTTTCAAGGCAATGTGAAAATATGCACTCTTATTCCCTAGTGTTGTGAAATTATTTCAGGTTTAGGATAACTGAATGTACCTCATAGTAGATGTTTGTAGTTTGTGACCCTGCTGAAGTAAGAGCAGTGTATATTTGTCAGCATGTGCAAAGTCTGAGGTATATTTGTGCCTGGGATTGCAATTTCAGATTCCCTGTGTGGGCAGATTCTGGTGTTGCAACCAGCTCTGAGCACGCCACCCATATGTGGACCTCAGTAAGCACTCAGCCTCTGCCCCTACTGAAGTGTGGCTCTGGGCTAGAGTGTAGATGTCACAGATCAATAATTCAAAGTGACAAGTGTACTAGCTACCCAAGTAGGCATGTGCTAGTACAGGACTCGGGGGAAGCCTTGAATGCTAAGCATTTAATAAATGCCACAGTCCTTTTTTTTTCTTTTTTGGTGTGTGTGTGTGTGTATGTGCGTGTACTGTCTGCATGTACGTAAGTGCACCTGTGTCACGCACTGCCCACAGAGGTCAGAAGACGGTGTCTGATTCCCCAGGAACTGGAGTTATAGACCAGTTGTTAGCCACTATGCGGGTGCTGGGAATAGAACCTGTGTCCTCTGCAAGAGCAGTTAGTACACTTAACCGCTGAGCCATCTCTCCCTCTATTTTGTAAGAACAGAGAACTGAGCCCTATTAGGGGAGAGAAGCTGAGCCTGTGTATGGCACCTTAGGACAAGGGATTCTCTAAAGCCACTTACAAGCAAGGATGAATAAAAGCAGAGAAGTGAGACATAAAAGGAGCCTGGGCCCTTGAGAGGGAAGGCTGCTTTCCAAGAGCCATAGTAATGTCCCAGAGTCTTGGGATATGGCTGACCGTGGGGCTGGAACCACAGCACCAGGCAGTCCCTCTGAGGCCCTTCCTACAGCCTGGGATGTGGCTAGAGATTTAAGAAGAGCCTCATTCTATCTGAGATGAGCTTTGGCAACAATGGTCCTAGACAGGAGACAGATGCAGGGAGGCACAGTGTACCAGTGAAGAAGGAACAGTTCTGGGCCAAGCAGGACCACAGTCCATCCTGAGCAGTGGGGGTGGATAGAGAGCTGTGAGGGGAGCTAGCCTCCACTCCAAACAGCTGATGGATTGCTGCTGGTTTACCTAGAGATGAGAACACCCACTTCTGTCACTACCATTCCATCAAGATGAGGCTGCAGAAATCAGCACAGGTACACTGCTATGGAGGCCTCCCTAAAGTCCCATTAAACTAACGTCAGCCCCACTGAGCTGGGCATGGTTGATATCAATAAGCAATCCCTAAATGTAGAAAAAGGGTCCAGGACTTCGTTAGGGGAAACAAAATGTCAAGAGACTCCTTCACTTAGTTTTTAGATGTAAGCTGTGTGTGTGTGTGTGTGTGTGTGTGTGTATTTGTGTGTGTGTGTATGCGTGTGTGTGTGGTGTGTGTGTGTATTTGTGTGTGTGTATTTGTGTGTGTGTGGTGTGTGTGTGTGGTGTGTGTGTGTGTATTTATGTGTGTGTGTGTGTGGTGTGTGTGTGTATTTATGTGTGTGTGGTGTGTGTGTCTATTTGTGTGTGTGTGTGGTGTGTGTGTATTTGTGTGTGTGTGTATTTGTGTGTGTGGTGTGTGTGTATTTGTGTGTGTATGGTGTGTGTGTGGTGTGTGTGTATTTGTGTGTGTGTGGTGTGTGTGTGGTGTGTGTGTATTTGTGTGTGTGTGTGGTGTGTGTGTGTATTTGTGTGTGTGTGTATTTGTGTGTGTGTGGTATGTGTGTGTGTGGTGTGTGTATTTGTGTGTGTGTGGTGTGTGTGTATGTGTGTGTGGTGTGTGTGTGTATTTGTGTGTGTATGTGTGTATGTATTTGTGTGTGTATGTGTGTGTATGTGTGTGTGTATTTGTGTGTATTTGTGTGTGTGTATTTGTGTGTGTATTTGTGTGTGTATGTGTATTTGTGTGTGTGTATGTGTGTGTGTGCTGCAATCTCATTCATCACTCCTCCCCCAGTGCTCTTGCTTCTGCTCAGACTAACATAACTTCCTTCACCATGGAAAACTTTTGTACATGCAGTTTAAGGGCTTAATGAGAGCAAAAAGAAAGTTGTTATGTGGATTGCGATGGGTGGGGAGGGGTGGGAGACAACAAAAGCAGTGTTAGCACACAGTCATAGTCAAAGCCACACAACCACCAGGTAGAGGCCTTCAGCCCCAGAGAAGGTGCTTCTGCACTGACTCCCAGGGAGCTCCCTTTCGTACTCAGCCCCTTTTTGCTGGGTACACAGTGATGTTCATCTGTGTACAAAGGACTAGGGAGAGGTAGCTGAATGGTCCAAGCCCAACGGGCTTTGTGGGCACTGGTCAGTCTGTGGTAAGGGTAAGAGTCACACAGGGAAGGGGACAGTGTACATGTGCACACCCAAAGCCATAAACGGGAAAGCCACAAAGCCTTGAGCTTACTGCCGTCGTAGTTCAACGTGGCGAAGTTGGCTTGCTTCTCCGCACAGCCTGCGCTGTTGCAGACCCGCATCTGCAGCTCGTACCAAGTGGCTTCCTGCAGGTCATACAGGATGTAGGACTTGGAGAGAGAGGTCCGCTGAGCTGTGGTCCAGACTGTGGTCCCAAAGGGCCTGTACTCCAGTGTGAAAGAGGTGATGGGGCAGCCTCCATCATTCCAGCCGATGAGGTTCAGCCTCACGCGGGTGGTGTTGACGCTGGCGAAGAGCTCCTGCTCCTTGGAGAACTGGGGCTCTGTGGGGGAACACACAGTGTCAGCTTGTAGGTGGAGACATCCGGGCTTTTTGTGCAGTCCCTGGATGGCCTTCTCTATGTAGACTAGGAGCTCAGGCTAAGGCTGGGACACAGGCCATCAACAACCTGACGAGTTTTCACAGAGGTCTGTGGCAACAAGCTTTCTCAACTATAATCCTGAGTGGACAGGGAGTGGACAGAGGTATTTCTACAGATTAGAGAGTTCTCTTGCGAACATCAGTTTTTCAGATGTGGCGTCCTTTAGTAGTTTATACACTGTCACGTGTGCGGCTGAACCGTTTCTCCTCTTCTATGCATGGACTTGACCAAGGAGGAAACCAAGTGGGATTCAGAAATACTGACAGGTCTCCTCCACTATCCAAACACAGTACCACGGTCCCTGACTCAAACGGTGTAAGTCTGTATCGACCAACCCTTTATCCCCTGGGCCTCACCTTGTTATCCAAAACCCAGGCACCAGTCCCAAAGGGTGCCTCTTCCATCACCTGAGTCTACTCCCCCTGGTGGTGGGAGAAGGGAGAACGCACAAACGTCTCTACGGGACCCTCTTTCTCCTATTCAAGGCTATACCCTCATCTCTGGGTGTCAGTTTCTCTGGGTTCATCTCCTTGAAGGTCTACTTTTATATAAAAACCCAATTCACACCGAAGTGCTAACACATTACCCCAATTATTTCCTGTCTGAGAAGTGAAGATCATGCGGCAATGTGAAAATTGTAGACTGACTAGGGAGCCAGGTGGGGGTTGACTAAGATTCGTCAGCCCAAGGACAGTGATGAAGACTGGTGTCCCATTCCATGACTGTCCATTTTGGGCATGCCTGTTGGCACCAAGCCCTTGATTTCCAAGAGCTAGTCTTCTTTGAGCTACGAGGGAAGGAACGAATAGGGACCCAGAAAATTCTGGAAGGTTCCGATGTCTCACTTATCATGCTGTCCCACTGTGAGGCTCACTTAGGAATATAAAACTACATACATAAACCAACATATGAATATTTGACATGTCTTTCATGATCCTACCCTGTTCGTGCTGGAGACCAGACACTTATAAACAATGAGAAGAGTATATTACCTTTCCCCAACGTTTTGGCTTCTATGATTTCACTTATGCGCCCAGGTCCCACTCCGTTTTGAGCAGTCAGAGTGAACTTATACCACGTCCCACACTTGAGATTTTCCAAGCGGTAGGAGCGCTCGCTCGGGCTGATGGGGAAGCTGCCCCACTGCTCGCTGTTGTCCTCGGAATACTGCAGGATGTAGCCTGGAGGAAGCGGGAGACAGCACAGTCAGCATCCCCGGCCTCCATCCCGAGCTGCCTGCGGTTCACATCCCGGGGAGGTGACAGGTTGAGGGTTCTCCAAATCCAAACAGTTCAGCTCTTCCTGATTCTAGGCTGGGAGAAGGGCTGGGATGGACTGATGAGTGAAGCCCTCAGGCCACACCAGATGCCGTTACTATAGCAACACTACTGGGCAGTACCGAAAAAGGCAGACCACTCTTTTGCTCATTCCCCATTAACACCGTACTGGACGGTCGGGGTTGAATACCGAGCTGCTAATTCTCCATATTCCAGAGCCTGTGCCTAAACCTTTGGGTAGTGGCTGAAACTGAGTTGCTTTCATAAGAATCAAGCCTCAGGAAAAGGGTTATGCTGACCATGGCACCAGGAAGGGAAGAAGGAGTCTCTATCGCCAACTTCTCTCTCGACATATGCCTGAGCTGACTGCCACAATCACAAGGGGAATTGGCTCTAAGCCCTGCAGCTGGCCCAACACTGCCATGCTAACCTGGCTTCTTCTCAGGGGTAACAGTTCCTCTAACAATTTGTTTAATCCCACGATCACTCTGTTTTCCACGTCTACGGCCACTGACCGTTATCTACATCAGGCGCTGCCCCAACCACCTTGCCTTGCCTAGGGCACCTCACATAGTGCCACAAAGTGGTACTCGGACTCTGCAGAGCTAGAGAGCTGCAGTGCAGATACCACATCAATCTTCACCCCACTTCTTGCTCTGGGGTCCCTCAAACTCTTATGTTCGTCATCACTGTTATCCACAGACATGTTTTGGGGGTCAGATGTGTGCTCTCTGTGATGTCCCTTGTCTCCTGAACGTGGATAGTCTGACTTGGGCATGCTCTCCTGGCCCCACTGGACTAGTAGCTTCTGTCCCTCCCCGGGGAACTCCACTTTTGACAGGGGCAAAGCACTTCTCTGCCACACTTGAAGGCTCAGCGCTCAAACCAGTGCCACCCAGATTCCCAAGTCCTGCCCCCAGGTGTCATTCACTATGGCCTCCTCTTCCCTTTCTTATCAGAACCTCCCTTTTGCCTTTTGTCCTTCTGGCCCATCTGGCCCCCTAGAGCCACAGAGCCTTCCCTGCTGTATCGCTGCTCTCTGCCTTTGTGTTTCAAGCTCTAAGAACTCTGCCAATCCCTGATGGAGATGCCTGGGCACTCAGTTCCACTCTGACTCCCCAACCTCCATGCCAGCTGCCCTGCATCTTGGGGACTGTGCTTTGCTCCTAGTTCCTACCACGAAGCCACCCTAAGTGATGTAGCTCCCCGTTCCCTGTCCCTTGATGCTGCCTTCAATGACATCGGCATCCCTCGGTATGGGCGCTCAGTTTAGGATGCCTTCTGATGCCAGGAGCTTTGGCCACTACTATAGTCCAGAATGCTCTGAAATTTCATGGGACACTTGTCTTAGAAGCTTTGCATCAATCAAATTGGCTTGTCTCTAAGACCTTCTATGCTGTAACCTATTTGGTTCTCTCTCAAACTCTCATGCAAAATTCAAACAATTTCTTCAGAGTCCAGATTCTGGGTCCCTTGAGCCCCAATTTATTTTTCTAAGCGTTTTCTCTTCCCTCCTCGTTCTACCATTTGAAGCAGGAAGGACAGTTGCCTCGACTTCCCTCGCTGGAATCGCCGCTCATCTCACACGTCACGAACTCCGGTAACCTGTGTTCCTCTTGTCTTCCCAGATGTCCAACATCACTTAGGATTGTTGTAATAATTATGACCACTACAATTTGTGCTGCGGATCTGCAGCTGGGTCCTGGCAGCTGCTTGGCAGTGACTTTATTCGTCTGTTAATGAGTCCCTGTGCCTTGCACATGGCAGCTTAGCAGAGCTGTCCCACGCTCCTCAAACCCACAGATACAGCCTCACCCCTAATCAGCAGCTATTTTTAAAAAGTCACCTCACCTTTTGCCTTCCTACAACAATAAAAGGAAGCTTCTCCCTTCAGCCAATATCTAACAACTGGCTCTTGGAGAAACAGAAGTCCTGACTGGTGGCACTTCTGATTTCTGAGATGTGTGACTTTTCTCATGTGGCTGAGGTGTTGTGTGTGGGGCTGCAAAGAGGTGGGACAGCACGCTGCCCCACTTCACCCTCCGCGTCCCCACCCTCCTAGCTGTCGCCTCACCCTTCCCCTCCCCTTCTGCCTTTGGAGCCTAACCCTCACCCTCTCTCCCCTGCTTCATGACCCCTTCTGTGACTCAGCTCTCATTTTTGTGTCATGCATCTTTCTACAGATGAGCTCCTGTCCCTGTCCGTGGACTGCTAGGTGACACTCAGTTCTACTTTTCCCAGAATGGCCACACTGCTTCGTTCTGTCAGCGTCAACCTCCCTGGAGCAAAGTGTGAAGGCTTTGTGCAAATAGGTTAGTTCCCATCTGAACTCTCTGGGCCCTTGGACTCTTATGACCATCCAGGTCAGGACAGTAACTGGTGACTTGAAGGATAACAATAATGCCTACCAAATTTGAGGGGAATAAACTAACACTTGGTGGTGGTTTGATGAAGATATGTCACAATTATTACAACGTAATGGTTTTCTTACATGATGCTAAACAGTTGGGAAGAGGAGGGAAGCACAGATTATCAAAGTTGGTAAGTATCCAGACTAGTGCGGAAGGTAGTCTTAGCAAAGGCTCAAGGCTGGACTAAGAGAATTCCTAAAGAGGCAGGAGTCCTCTCCTTCACGTTTCACCTTCATTTGTTACTATTTCTCTTAGGCTAGATGCACCAGGTAGTTTTGTAAATGAGAGTCCTTGGACAAATGAGCTGAGGTCCAACAAACACTACCAAAGCGGACGCCTGATCCCTTGCAAAGGTAATGGGAACGTCACTTTTACGGCGTGTGGGGAAAATACACCATCGTAGAACAGTCACCTGACGAAGATGTGTCACCTGTTTGGCCAGCGGGTAATAAGTGAACCAGTGATTGCTGACGGCCGTCTCACCTCTGATGGAGCTCCCTCCATTATCTCCAGGGAGCCAGGAGAGGGTGATAGAGGAAGACGTGGTTTTGGAGACAGTGAGCCGAGGCTGATCTGGTGGAACTAGAGAGGAAAGTTTGTAGAAAACAAGATTTATTTTTTCACATTTTCAATCCTCTGTAATAGTCATTTACCAAATCATTTTTAACAGCCATTGATTAAATACGTGTTTTAGGTTGCCAAAATATGCAATTCACGTCTGTCAAAATGTCTGCTTCGTTGATATCCCAGGCTGAAGAGCGCTCAGTGAATCTATTATTCAGGGGAAATTCAACCACATTTCTACTCGGGTCTGTCTACACCTAACTCATTTCCTGTACCATTCCTTGACTGTCTAAGTTGTTCATCACTCACTGAAATCTTCAGACTTACCAAGAATACAGGCACTATTTTTTTTTTTTTCTGAATTTCAACCAGGAAATTCAGGTGAGGAAGATAAATGATGTTCCCTGTTCTGCTTTTCCCAAGAAGGAGGAGAGACGCAGCCAGTGGGAAAAAGAGTCGTAAAAAAGTCCAGTCTTTAAGCTGCTCCTCCAAGACACAGCACACACACATGCATACACACATGCATATACATACATACATGTGCACACACACATGACAAACACACAAGTACTATGTACGCACACCTGTGCACACAGAGCTCTGAAGACCAGACGTGTCACAGTGAGCTGTGGCACATGAACCTAACCTTCACAAAAGGCTCGAGGGACAGACTCTTTTAAACAATGGCCTTAATGTAATTCTGAGTAGAAACACTAAAGAAAGTCAAAAGCGTGTTATCCAAAATTTAGACAGAGCTTCATGTAAAGCATTTTTCTTTTTCTTGTGAGAGAAACCTGAGATATTGACCCAAAGACCTAAAGAACTGTCCCATCTCTTTAGAATCATAATATAATGTTAGCTTTCAAAATGCCCCAGAGTTTCCCTAACTTCAATTAACTTGAAATTCAAGATTGATTTTGCAGTATTTTTAGAACATATACTTCTTCCCCTCCCTTCCCACCCACAGAGGAGGGCATTGATTTTATGTTTATTTGCTGCAATGTATTAATGTGACATCTGAATCCAAAGATGCCCGCTCTTTGATTTTTCTTCTAATAAGACATCCTCATGAAACTAAATGTGAACCCAATCAATAGCAATTTGGGTTTTGCACACGATTTTAATGCACCAATCTCTGGAGAGTGTTGTGAATATTTTGTCTACAGAAATAGATGATTAAATATCCTGAATTGAATTCAAAGTTGTCATAACAATAGCCTTAGAGTTCAATTAGTGAATATATATAATAGAGACAAATACACATATATTCACTAATTGAAACTCTGAGCCTTTTGTTATGTGATGTGACTTTGTATTTGCTGTGAGATATTTACTTGTTTATCAACTTAATTAGCAGACAAAAAGACCACACTCAGACTTGTTTCCTCTGGTGCTTTCTAGGTGACACAGTCATCTGTAAACAGTGCAATTAGTAGAAGTTATTGACCAAAACTTCTTCAGAGATACTCAGATAAAGAAAACAAGAGATTAGGCATTTTCTATGCAAAAAAAAAAAAAAAAAAAAAAAAAAAAAAGAAAAAAAAAAAAAAAAATAAGTATTTTTTAAAAAAAAAAAAAAAAAAAAAAAAAAAAAAAGACCAAATACCAAAAACCAAAAAATCTCCTTAGTGTCACCTCTGGGATTGTGAACATTCTTGTTTTCTTTGATTTGCTCAACTATATTTTCAAAAATGAACACAGTATTTTTCAATATGAAAATAGCAATTTGCTCTGCATAGAGGCTGAATTTCGAATTGGCTCAGATTCACTTGTAAAGCGTATGTACAGAAAAGGTCCATCCGACAGAGCCCCCACTTTGTACCTTGCACTTGTAAGTTTAAAATGATCTCATCTGATCCCCAGTTGTTGTTGGCGATGCAGCTGTAATAGCCCGAGTCCTCTGCCTTCACCGTGCGGATAATGAAGCTCCCATTGCTGAAGATGCTCCTACGTCCGTCAATCGTCACCAGGCTGGGTGTCCCGTTACTACCTCACAGGAAGAAAAATGCACAGATTAAAGAAATTACAACCCACATTAGCGGAGGTTGTTAAGAAGCATCAAGCCTGTCTCTGAAGCAAATGACACATTGCAACCTCAATATTTTTGTTTTGCATTATAAAATAAGTATTCTGGGATTATATAACCCAAGTCACCCGATAGCTGAGTCTTTTTTTTTTTTTTTTTAAATGGAAGACTAGACCTGTTGTCAACAGCCTGGATTTTGGCTCTACTGGTGGTCAAGCATCCTGTCACA